GTCAACAACAGCCTTGGACAGATGCCTTGCCTCCCCTTTTAGCCATCAAGGGCTGTCCTCACGCAGGTCACCTCTGCCTAATGGACTCCTCAGGGCTCACTTGTCACTCCACGGATTGTGTGACTCTTTGCATGGGCTCCAGATAGAATGTTTATTCTGCTGAGGAATCTACAGACTCCTGACCCTGTGGCCCCCAAGCCAGCCTGGCCCTCGCTGGCCCCCTACTGCTTACTTTCACTCTACAAGCTCTTGTTCATCACACACCAACATGCCAGTTCTGTTTCTCCACTGTGCTGAACCCCTTAACACCCTGGGGCCTGTGCACCCCCTTCTGTCCAGAATGTTCTTTTCTAGATGCTGGATCCTCCTTGTATTATAGAACTCAGAAATGTTTTTCTGAGCACCCAGGATAGTTAGCCCACAAAGTGGCCTTGTGGTCTGACTGGGCACTAGAACCTTGGCCCGTGGCGCCAGTGCTAGGCAGGGCCCAGCCCGCATGGCCTGGCACACGGCACAGCAGGCCCCCGCACAGCAGTCCCACTTCCACCTGTTGCTCTTTAGCCCTGAGGGCTCTCTCCTGCCTTGAGCATTGGCTTTGCCATGTAGGCCAGAAGAGCTGAGGCATTAACACCCCTGTCCAAGGCGGCCCTTAGCTATAACTCATGAGAGCTGGCGGGTGGGCTAAGGCAGGCGTGTGTTTGATGCTGGCCCCTGCGTGCCAGCCTAGGTGGTCACAGCGGCTCCCTGCTCTGGAATCCTGCTGATGGGGTGCCCTTATAGCTTCCCACCCTCCTGCCTCAAGTCCCAGCTCCCTGGGTTACTCCCTATCTAACAGTCTCCTCGCACCCGAGTCTTTGACTCAGAGTCTGTTTCTGGGGAACCCGAACTAATAAAACAGGTGGAGATTTACTGACCCCAAACTGCCTCCTTGGCAATTTTAAATGTAGGACATACCAAGAGAGGGCCACACGCACAGAGGGCCAGGACAGACTGGGGACAGAACAGAGGGGAGAAGCAGCAGAGTGGATACCACAGTGGAATCCTCCAGGCAGACAGGGAGAGCCTCAGGCATCCAACAGGGCCACAAGTTCCAGGGCCGCAGGGGTGGCTCAGGGTTCAAGGGGCTCCTATGTCCTGATGGCCAAGGCTTCCTCTCCTCCACCACCCTGGTGGCAGACCCATCCCTGAGGTGACCCTCCATCTTTGTCCCTTGAAACCGAAGGCCCCAGACCAACCCAGTGGCATTTGCACAGAGGGGAGTGCCTCCTTCCTCCCAGTTTCCTGCTTTGTGAGTGTTAAGTGTCACAGTCAGTGTCCTCTCTCAGGACACGGTCTCTTTGGCAGTTCACTTTGAGGGGTAATACTGCCACCTCCTCCAAACTGAGGGAATTTATCGATGAATGTCGTGGGGCTAGTAGAGGCCAGGGATGCTGCTGGACTGTGCACAGACAGTCCCACACCAAAGACCAATCTGGCCCAAGTGTCAGTAGTGCAGAGGCTGAGAAGCCCTGCCTGCCGTTTCCCAGTTCCACATTCTTAGTTCCTCCAGGTGTCACCTGCAAAATGGAGGCATGCTTGTCCTAGGCTTACGTTGCTTTGTTCTAGGCAGCTGGACAGGATTCCTGGTGACGGATTGTGAAAGGCATCTGAGGACCAGGGGAAAGAAGTGTTCTCCTGTGCACTGGTCAGCGGCATCCCTGGCCCCTGCCCACTAGAAGCTGCTGGCCTGGACGAGCATCTCTGTGGCCTAGGTGAGTCCACTAGGCCTCCACTGGGTCAGTGCCCTTTAAGGCCTTTCACAGCCTCTACTTGCCTCTAGGTTTCCTGCCCGGCTAATTTACTTCACTACATACTCGTCCCTTCTTTGTCTTGGACATTCCTGTGGTCTGCAAAGGCCCAGCTCAGGCCTTCCAAGGAGAGAGAAGGAGATGACATTCAACGGACCCTACCCCCGAGGACATATCAGGCACCAAGTCAGAGGCATTGCAGAGAGGGGCTCCTTGAATCCTCCCAGTCACACAGGAAGAAGGTGTCCTTTCCCCCATTTTATAGATGAGGAGACTAAGGCTAAAAAAAGCCGACTGAGGCAGGCTCACACCTGTAATCCTAGCACTCTGGGAGGTCAAGGCAGGTGGATTACTTGAGCTCAGGAGCTCCAGATCAGCCTGAGCAAGAGCAAGACCCCAACTCTACTCAAAATAGAAAAACCAGCTGGGCGTGTGGTAGGTGCCTGAGTTTCAGCTATTCAGGAGGCTCAGACAGGAGGATTCCTTGAATTGAGGAGTTTGATGTTGCCCTAGCTTGAGCTAAGCTGATGACCGCAAGCACTCTAGCCTGGGGCAACAGAGTGAGACGCTGTTTCAAAACAAAAACAAAAAAAACTTGAAGGACCTGTGGAAGACCATAGTTTTAGGAAATAAAAGACAATACATTTACAGCCTATTCTATCTGACCCTTAGCCAGGATATACCCCTGCCTCAGGCCTCCCTCAGTAAAAGTGCGGACACACCCCAATTCACACGGTTAGTATGCATGTGAGTTAATGAAGGAAGAAAGAGAGCTGTACACCCCTAGTGCAAGAATGCTCCCCAGTGAGCCCATCGGTTTGGGCTGCTCTGGCCTAGGAGAGCACTGACCAGGGTAGACCAACTGTCCACTTGAAAATAAGAAGGAGCACAGTTTGCATCTGGGCCCACCTGCCAGTGCTGTCCCAGCTGTGCAGACTCCCCAAAATGGAACCTGGGGAGGGCCTGAGTGGGGAGACTGGGCATCTGCATTATAAAGGGTCTTTGTTGGGGTAAAGCTTAGGGCGGTGCTTGCTGCCTCCCTGGAAGCTTCTGGGCCTTCCCATAGCTAGGTCTCCATGGAAATTCATTTGTTGAGAGAAAAGAGCTATTTTAAGAATATGTGAGGATGACAACCTGGTAGGCTGGGGTTAGGGAAGGTAGCCGAAGGGAGCTTTTCTGAATGCCTCACTAATTTCCCTCCTATTGGGGTGGAAACAGATGGCATGGATAAAAATCTGAAACCCAAGAGGGAGGAGGAGCTGGCCGGGCTGACCTGGGTCCCCAAGGGTGTTGCAGAACTGTAGCCACTGCCCCCTACCCAAGGGCACACCCAAGGGGGTGGGACGTAGGAGCAAACTGTGGCCAGAAACTCTCCACCATGAAAACAGCTCCTCAGGGCACACAGAATATATGCCCTCAACCAGCTGTCATATGATCATGGAAAAAAGGAGAAATTGCTTCTTGAAAAAAAAGTGACCAGCTCGGCGCCTGTGCCTCAAGCGGCTAGGGCGCCAGCCACATACACCTAAGGTGGCGGGTTCGAATCCCCAGCCCGGGCCCGCCAAACAACAATGATGGCT